ATTCTAAATTATATAAAAGGCAATAATTCGAAACCCTAAATAAAATTCGTCAAATTTACTGGAATATTTGAAAATTTTACGAAACTTTGCCGATTAGAAATCCACATTAGTAATTTCTATAAATTACACATCGGTTACGTATTCGTTACGTACAACGCCGCACTATTTCATTAAAAATAAAAAACAAACGCTTTTGCCATTTTAAAATTTTAGTAGAACTTTTTGTATTTCAGTAAATATGAATTCAACATTAAAGGACAATAGACACATTCATTTTCAATTATTATTCTTCGAGAGTTATAAACAGTTCTTCAAACGCATTTCGGCTTCTAGTTCATCCATCAACGACCAATCACTCCATTAATGACATTTTTACGTAATTTTCTTATTAATTTCTCATTCATCCTGGAACCAAAACCATATTAAAACCTCCACTAACCTTGAGATTGATCTATTATCCCTTTACATCATTTGCCTGCTGGTTTCTTCTTCTTTTTCCTCGTCTTAGGTTTAGGACTTTGTTCAACATGAACATTTCTCGATGCACTATTAAAATGTGGAGCACTTTTGGAAGCACCACTAGGTGCCTTTTTGGTATTTTTAACAACAGTTTTTTGTTTTGCAGAAGGATTAGCATTTGCAACTTTACACTTCTTTTTAGCTTTCCTGTCCTTCATGTTTCTCGAGAAGTTCTTGGCTTCCAATTGCTCCTGTTTAGCAAAAGCCTTGAGATCCTTCTTGTCAGTGGCATCACGTATTTCTTTAGATAGTCTTTGGATGAACTTGGCACGAGGATCATGTTCAAACTTGCCACTGCCACTAGACGTTTCCGACGATTCTGTAGATGTTGATTCTGTTAAGTCTACAAAAACGCTTACAGAATTTTTGGAAGTTGCTGGCAGATTCTCCATAGCTGTGCGAGCCACTGCTTCCTTGTAGGATTTGAAAGGATCTTTGTCGGAGTTACTATCAGATTGCACAATAGATCTTACACCTGTAACAAAAAAGTTGTTAATGCATGAGAATGTGGTTTTTACCTTCACCAGTTTTTACCTTCAGTGCTATCGAATTTCTGGAGTAAACCAATGCTTTTCAAGCCGTCCGAGACAATAAGTTCCAAATCTTTGGGAAATCTAGTCGACCTGTATTTTTCGAGCAGCATCTGGTGCTTCAAGTTATTGTTTTGTGCAGAGTTGCTCCTGGATGGTATGGGTGTCTTGATGTGTTCAGAAGAATTTGGAATAGGCTCTGAAAAAAGAAACTAAATTAATATTTTGTAACAAAAGATAAAATTTTTGTTTCTGGACATTTTGTCATACCTCAGAAAAAAAATTGATGTGTGTGTGTATGTATGCATGGATACAAGTTTTCATCCACGTTTTCGGGCGCACGGATCAACCGATTTAAATGGTTCAAAAAACATTCGATTCCTATTGATAGGCAGATGTGCTGATTAGTTTTTGAAAAAGGCATGCCCAGCCGTTACGGAGATACGGTGCAAAGAGTGCAGAAAATAGAAATCGAGCTTTTGAGAGAACAGAATATCCGATTTGAATGATTCAAATAACATTCAATTCGTAATGACGGGAAGAAGTGGTGATTAGTTCTTGGCAGAGGCAAGTCCATCCGTTTCGGAGAAACCGAGCAAAATTTGCAAAAAATTGCAGTTTTCGAGAAAACTAAGCATCAGATTTCAGAAAACTTTCTGCTTGTGTTGACGAAACAATTATTTTTAGATTTTTTATCTTATTTCAATTTTTTTTTTAATTTTTTTTTTAACGAAAATTATTCAGATTTTATTTTTAATTGTGACTATAGTTCTAATATACTTTAAACAAATATTTTCAACTTTGCAATTCAATTTATATAATTCTTATAAATATTAGACAATGTTACAATATTTATTTATAATAATCTATTTGAACACATTTAATTTTCCTCGAACATTTCGTTACGGTACGGGAAGTTCCAGCAATTTACGTTAAGTGATTATTCATTCACGATACCATACACCACTAGTTACTTTTTAAAATCGACTAAGGATTGTGAGTTGAAATGTGGACAAAAAAATTCTCACTTTTCTGCTATTTACAGCGAAACGGCTCAGCCGATCGTCGCACAAAACTGAAAAAAGGTAATCCACATCGAAATACATCGATTGGCTTTTAAATTTTTGAAATCGATGCAGCCGTTTTCAAGAAAACGTCGATGTAAGTTTCAATTTTGACAAACGAAAAAAACCATACGAATTTTTAAAGTCGAATGACTTGTCGTAGGTCCGCAATATTTTAGTAAGATCTATAAAACTATAGTATTTACTGTAAAAAAAAAATCATAAAAATCGTCAAAAACATTTTTTTTAACACTTTAATACAAGAAAACGGCCCAGACGATCTCTACCAAAAACTAATCAGAATCCCAATCAATATCTTTCGAACGGTTTTAGAATTTTCAAAATCGATTCAGAATTGCGGGCTAAAACGTGGACGAAAAATATTTAACTTTTCTGCTGTTTATAAAGAAACGGCTTGGCCGATCGTCGCACAAAACTAAGAAACAATTGTCCTCATGGAGTACGTCAAATGGCTTTTAAATTTTTGAAATCTGTCCAACCGTTTTTGAGAAAACGTCGTCGGTTTACTGCAAAAATCTGTTCGCATACACACACACACGATATACTTTTTCCAAATTTGGTCTCATTCGATTCAGAATGGCTTGAAACGTCGAGAAAATATAACATTAACGATTCGAATTTTTTGGCGTAATAAAATTTGCTTATTACCTAGAAATTCCTGTCTCGCCAGAAACTCCTTCTGCTGCTCCCTGTTGATCTCCTTCATTTTGCTCCTGGATTCAAAAGGCACATCGAAGAAAGGTTTGGCTAGATCTGTATTTTTGGCCATCAGTCTGGAATTTGCCAGCAGAACAGCCTTGTTTTTGATGTATCCAGCTGGCTGCATTTCCGAATGCGTCATCATCAACTCGAAGGGACGACTGTCGATTTTATTCACGGCGTGGGATAGAGCCTCCATCGCTTGTTGCTGGAAAATTCATACTATAAATAGTACATTGGGCTAATACGATTCAACTACATGTGTTTTCTACTTACCTCTAAGCCTGATTTTACTTCCATGTTCTTCGTCGGTCCAATATCGCTCATAGTCATCGTCAACTCTTTCTCATCATCCAAATCGAAATCATCAAAGAACTTCAAAGTATCTTCAAAGGGTTCCATAAAATACTCCAATCGACCATCATCATCATCATTGGCATCAATCTCATCGATTTCCGTTAGCAAATCGGTTTCTTCGTCCTCGTCCACTTGGGCAACATGGGAACTGGACGAAACTCTGGAAAGTGGTCTCGCAAAATTCATTTCACTGTTGGCAGGAGTCACTGGCACTTCGCAACAGTTGACAAATAAGGAGTTCAGGATCTTTTCGGTCACATGTTGAAAGGATAGTTGGTAGTTCATGTTGGCATCAGAGCAATCGCTGTGGGTTGGTGTTACTTGTTTTATAGTGCTGTTGTTCCTGGACAAGGTTGATTGAGTGTTGGGCTGGAAATCAGACCAGACGTTGTCGTTGATGTGGTAGTTTGAAGCTGCTACAACTGTCACATCGCTTCTACAAGTTTCTAAGTCGTCTGTTTCATCCTCTTGGTCAATATTGTCTTTAATTTGGGATGCCTTGAGCTGTGCCTCTCGTTCACTACTGCACAAATCGACATCGTTATGCTCCACCAACTCCAGTTCATTTTGACTGGCTTCACTTTCAAACACTGCAATTTCTTTTTCATCATCAATACTTGCGATGGGCAAGTTTGTCTTTTCAGTTTTATTTTTGATATGCAGACTTTTTAAAATACTTTTGAATGCGCCATACTTTTGGCTCGTGTTGGTTTCATCAGTTTCGGTTGTCAATTTCAAAATACCCTTCAAACTGGTTACGTTGTACAGGTTAGGTACACCAATTGCACTAGGAAATACATGCACAGGTTCTTTATTATTTTTTAAAATACCTTTCAAAACTGGTTTACTATCATTCGACGTGTCATCTCCTTGGGACATCTGTGAAGCATCATCCAACTTCCTAAAAACCATACTTTTAAATAAAGTTGGTTTATTTTTATCCGCAGCATCGTTTGCTTTTTTCTGTGCATCCATAAATTTATACTCTTGTTCCAAATCGACGTAATCGCCTTTTCTAGATATAAAAGAGCTTTTTTTAACAGAACAAGCACTGCTGTTTTTGGAGGATATAGTAAATGAACCAGTTTTGGCATCAACTTTATTTGCCAAGTTCAATTGACTCTTGTCCTTGGTCTTGCTATCAGTGCTTGGAACACTTTTATTGCTCGTTGGTTTCTGTACTTTTAATGGTTTCTGCACAGTTAATGGTTCAGTTTTGGCTGTGGAAACCACAAAGTTAGTGTTCAAATTTTTCAAAACCTTAGTCTTCGTATCACCAAAACCCGAATTACCCTTCTGAAGTATGTCCGAGAATGTTTCAAGCATTTTATCATCATTCAGGTGATCTCCATCCACCACCTGCACCACTTTTTTATTACCACTGTCCTTTATCACCAACTCAGACTTTCTGCAAGGTATGTCCATTATATGTTTATTGGAACAAATATAGTTCTGTCGTTCTTTGGATATAATAGTCTCCTTAATCTGTGCAATGGTTTCTGGAGAATCGATAAAACTGCCAGGTGCTTTGGTTTTTACCAAATTATTCTTCTTTTTCATAATGACGTTGTATTCTTCGTCATTTCCTTTGAAGACAAAATTGCCATCGCTTCCGAAAACAAAGGACGTGATTATAGTACGTCCGATGCAACTCAGGCGAAGGTACACGGTTAAGGAACCGCTGGAACTGCCGTCCAGATTAACCAACCGAAAACTGAAATTAGAACCAGATATAAATACCTGGTTTAAATTAAAAATCTAGTTTTACGTACCAGTCTTTGTGCGATTCTGATACTGGATACTTGTATCCGTTCTCCTTTAGTTGTCTCGAAATGCATTTGAATTGCTGGGCGATGGAGATGTTGCAAAAACCTATCGGGATTTTGTCCTCTTTAGGCACCTTGACTTCTTTGTAGACCGAAACTATTATCTGCCAAAAGGAAAATAAACTGATGGTAACTTCCCGTAGAAAATTTTGACATATCTTTACGCTTGAAAGAACAAAAACTTGAAGAATTTTGGTGTATCTTGGAGAAAATTACTAATTAACTTAAAAATAATAAATTAACCGATTCCCAACCGTTTTCAAAATACAGAGAAAAAGTTCTGAAAGTGAGAGTTATTGAGAGCATCCGATTTGAATGATTCAAAAAATATTTCACTTGTGTTGACGGAATTAAGAATCAAATTTTTGCGAAGGCGGTTTTGGAGATGCTAGTTTTTTTTTACAAAAATTGACATTTGTTGGTCAAATATGATCTTTACAAATCATTACTATTGATTCACATATTAATGCAATTATTGGTGAATAGATAAACAGATGTGTATACAGGTTTATGGGTAGTGAAAAGTAGAAAATTATACATGTAAGCAGGTTGGCAGGTAAACAGATAAACAGATAAGAAGATAAAAAAAAGACAGATAGACAGATAAACTGGTAGGCTGATAAACTGAATTATAAAGAAACGGCTTGGCAGATCGTCGCACAAAACTGTCAAATGATAGTCCTCATTGAAATACATCAAATGGCTTTTAAATTTCTGAAATCGGTTCAGGCGTTTTTGAGAAAATGTCGATCAAAAGTCTAATTTTGACAAATATTTGATTATAATTTAAAAAAAAATTTGCAAACTTTGACGAATTTTTAACGTTTCGTAGGGTCGTAATATTTTAGTATGATCTTTGAGACTATGGTATCTACTGTCAAAAAAATAATAAAAATTGTCGAAAAAAATTAGTTTAACACTTTATTACAAGAAAATGGCAGGACCGATCCAATATCTTTCGAACGGTTTTTGAATTTTTAAAATCTATTCAGAATTGCGGGCTAAAATGTGGACGAACTTTTTCCAATTTTCTGCGATGTACAAAGAAACGGTTTGGCCGATCGTCGCACAAAACCGATGAACGCTAGTCCTCATCGAAATGCATCGAATGGCCTTTAAATTTTGAGATCGGTCCAGCCGTTTTTGAGAAAACGTTGATTTACGGCGAAAAATCTGTTCACATACATGCATACACACACAGACTTATTCAAAATGTGGCCTAATTCGATTCAGAATGACTTGAAACGTCGAGAAAAAATAAAATAGCGATTCGGATTTTTTGATGAAAATATGAACTCTACTTCGGGAAGTTAATAATTAATGAGTTAATAAAAATCGAGGTAATAATATATCAAAACCTTGACTATCTAAATTTGTCAGTGCAACATAAATTTAATCAGTTTTAGATTAGGATGGTTCTTGAAATGACTATCAAGATGCCCCAAGAACATTTATATGTGGCATACGTTGTAGTGGGTAAACCATCCATATAATTTGTGTTAGCTGCCTCTTTCACTGTATATCACACACTTTTATATTCACAACTACAACAAGTTAGCTATTTTTTTATACTATAAATGTTCTAGAAATATTTTTTATGACTAAATAAGATATGCCAGGTCAGGAAATACACAAACACACACAAACACACACACACACATATTATATATATATATATATATATATTATGTAAATTATATTCTATCCATTACCTGAAAATCCGTCATCGCCCACACCTCAATCTCGGCCGACATCGGAAACAGGCAAGATTTGCCTCCCTAATAACAGAAGAAAATAATATAATATTCAACTAATATTGATGTATGTAACTAATGTAAATGTATCTTTGCTACCTTGAGGAATGTAAAGGGGTAGTCCGGATGGGGCTCGGCGTCGAATTCATCCTGGTTGAGCGTGACGACCGCATTGTTCAGAAACTCGAAGCAGACGCAGGTCTTGTCCTGGGCGTGCGCCTCGTACGGAAGAATCGTCAAATCGACCTGGAAATCAAAAAAAAAATAGAAAAATATTTAAATGGGTAAAGTTGCATTTCATAAAACTAGTTGCATAAACTTCCATAAGCATCGATAATTATAAATCTCGGTAAACACCTGAATAATAACATCTTGCAATAAGTAACTTATGTTTTGTTTACATTTTTGCATTCCAAGCTATTTACCAACTTCTGGATAAATTTACACTGTCATTATCTTCTCTTAAATATTTGCAGAAATAAAAGAGACCGATAACAAAGTACGAGTAAATATAAGTAGGTTGTAATTTCAATTCCAATCGACAGAAGTCAAACCAACCTAATTCTTCTTACGATAAGGAGTATAATCTTATTCAAAAATAAGGCTATTACATATATCGCTTTCTTGATTTTCTTCTTAAGATATTTTAGAGCCGACAGAAGTCCACGCAAACTTTTTATTTCACCATAAGGAAAGAAAGCTAATTAATTTATGTAGCTTACTCCTTAATTTTGTATTTTCTCCTTAAGATATTTTACAGTCGAAAGAAATCCAAGTAAATGATTAACTTCACTTAAAATAATGGGCTACAATTTTAGGACATACAAGCATGTACTTGTGCAATAATTAATGTAATTACAGATAATTTAAATATGTTTGAGTAAATTCAATTGGATATCGCCAACATTTGAAAATTTAAGCTAAATATCTAAAACTAAATTTTGATTGATTAGGTCAATTATTAAAACTATTGGAAACTTGTCAATGGGAAAATGCCACTTTCGACTAGTTAATTCAAACGATTGATCCGTGCGCCCGAAATCGTGGACATAAAATTGTATCCACACAAAATACACCACATCCATTTTCAAGGTATGCAAAAAAATGTTCAGAAACCTCTCAAACGTAAAGACAGGGCCGGCTTTAACACTACCAGCGCTCTGGGCGAGATTTCTACGGCGCCCTTCACCTGCAATTCAAACCCATTTGGAAAAAAGAAAACATCTAATGAAATACCGTTTATTAAAAAAAAATTATTATAAAAGATAACCATTAATAGAACTACTAATATAATTTTACTTTTCTGGCCTTTCTATTAGCAAACTCTTTTATAAGGTTGTCGAAGTCGGTGTTTTCAGCAATTTCGTTCTCAATTGACACAGTTGCTAAGTTTGTCAATCTAGATTGCGAAATCGCTGATCGAAGATAGGTTTTTATTAGCTTCAGCTTTGAAAAGCTCCCTACTAGCAACCGTTACAGGTATAGTTAATAAAATTCGCAATGATATCCATACATTTGGATACAGTTCTTGTAAGTTGAAATCGTTGATAAAATTTATAACAAAAATGGGAGTAACCACATTTTTATCAGGTGGGATGCCAGACTTATAAGTTCATCACATAACATACAACCATCTATGTCTGATTTAGAGTCTACAGTTAATTTTAATTGGAGATCACTACAGAGCTTGAGAAGGTCGCGTTTTTCTGGAATCTGTTTAATATTGTATAAAAAAGACCAATATTCCGAGTACTCATTTACTGTTCGAACCTTTCATTGATTGAAATTAATGTTGTCCAAAAGACAGTTGAAAAATTCAACCTCAAATTTTTTTCTGGAGAAGTTATAGGGTCATCGCGTGCAATTTCACCAGCTTGACGCTCAATTTCTAGTTCTTCAGCCAACTCCTTCGCAGTTAAAATAGCGCTTTTAAAGCCCGTATATCTGTAGTCTTCCAAAAAATTGCCGCATTTTTTCAACATTTGTGTACATTTACCAAGATCCATATCTGTTGACTGTGGAGATTTACTTACAACATTATTTGATGAAGTATGTCATACCAAACAACCAATGAAACTATGAAGCTGAAATCTTTTAGTTGTTCGGCTAGAGTAGTAGCTCATGAGACATTTGAACATCAGTTTTGAGTTTCAAGAGCCAAAGTAATCAAAGCATCATGGATAGTACTAATTTGATAACAGACTACTGTAACACTACTTATTCTTGCTTCCGAACGAGTGTCACTGTGCTTTTTTATAGTATATAGTCCCAAGTAATCGGTTAGAATTTCCATCGATGAACAGAAGCTGAGTGGTCTGAAATACCACCCTTCATAGCTAATCGCAAGTGCTCCTGCATGACTAGATGAAATTTGGCTAGTATTGTACAAAGCCTAAGAACTTTCCGTTATTTGGCGTATATAGTTGTCAGAAGTGCCTCTGAACGTCATATTGTTTTCGGCTAAATAAAGTGTGATATGCATCAATCTAGACAAAACATTATTCCATCGTTTTTTCTATTTTTAATCGTAGTTCAGCTTCAATCCATGAAAAAGTAAAACTTCTTATGAAAAGTGCTATTTTCATGATTTTTTAATATTCAGACAAGTATTTCCAGTTGTTATACCCTTGAGATACTAAGTTCGACGTTGAGCTACTATCAAATAGTCTACAACAAAAACAATAAACTCGATCCTTAGAAACGGAGTAAATTAACCAACGGCGCTGAATTGTTTCATTGTTTGTAAGAATTTTTGTGAAATGAGAATTAGAGAAATGTCGGCCTGCATCATTCTTCGGATAATTATCAATGCGAGTTTGCACTGGGCCACTAGTATTATGTGATCAATGATTTTGCCATTTCGAGTGACTGGCCAAGTAGCCAAGTTCGCTATCCCATGCGAATGAGCTGAGTTTGTTACGCTTCGCTACAATAACGCTAGCTTTTTTTTTAACCAAAACGTTAAAAGGACAATGTGTTTTGACAATAGACAAAAAAAACGCTTAATTTAGGGAATTTACGAGACGACTAAGCAGACTCGAACTATGAGCATAAGCCGGGGGGGCGCCTGCAGCGCCCCTTTTGGCCGGCGCCCAGGGCGGTTGCCCACCTCGCCCTACCCTAAAGCGGCACTGCGTAAAGATATGCAAACATTCCATTTTCGATTTTTGGGCGATTACTATAAACTCAGTTTGCTAATTCCAAAGCATTTCTAATCACAAAAAAACGACTTTTGACATAACAAACGACTTTTAACACAATTTTGACCATAATATTTTTCAAACATTGATGAATTATAAAATTGAACTACTTGTCGTAGAGCTGTAACATTTAGTGTGTTCCATAAGACCATCACATCTATCGCTATTAAATTTTTTATGAAAATCAACAATATTTTTTCAACAGTTGATTACAAGAAAACAGCTTGGTAGATCTTTACCACAAACTAATTAGTATCATTCCCTATTAATATCTTGAACAGTTTTTGATTTTTTTAAATCGATTCGGTAGTATGAGCTTAACTGTGGACGAAAGTTTAACACTTTTTCTAAATTACAAATAAACTGCTCGGCCGATCGCTGCACAAACTGAGAAAAGATGATCCACATCGAAATACATCGATTGGATTTTAAATTTTGAAATCGGTTTTAGATGTTTTTGAGCAAACGTCGATGAAAGGTCTAATTTTGACAAATGCCAAAAAAACATACCATACTAATTATTGCAAACTTTGACAAATTTTTAAAGCTAACCTAGTTGGCGTAGGGCCGTTATATTTTAGTATGATCGTCGAAAAAAAATTTTTTTAACACTTTATTACAAGAAACGGCCCCGCCGATCTTACGAAAAACTAATCAGGTCTATTCCCAATCAAATCTATTGAACAGTTTTTGAATTTTTAAAATCGATTTAATGGCAGGCTAAAACGTAGATGAAAAAATTTTCTGCGATTTACAAAGAAAACGGTTCGGCCAATAGTCGCGTAAAATTGACAAACGCTAGTCCTTATCGAGATACATGGAATAGATTTTAAATTTTTGAAATCGGTTATAGCCGTTATTGAGAGAAACATCGACGAAAGGTCAAAAATCTGTTCACATGCACGCACCCGCACACATACGCACACACACATACTTTTTCCAAATTTGGTCTCATTCGATTCAGAATGGCTTGAAACGTCGAGAAAACATAAAATTAGCGAATCGGATTTTTTAATGAAAACAAACTTCTTCCCGAAGTTAAAAATATATTAAATAGATTTCAATTCCTATTGACTAACTAAGTTGATTATGCATACTACTGGTAAGTACATGCAACTTGCCTTAAGGCAAATGCCACTTACAACTAGCTTAAATTTTAAG